GCATGTAGCAATCAGGAGCGGGTGGTTCAGCGGGGGCTGTGGTGTGTGGGGCTGCCCTCCCCGTTGCAGCCCGTGCCTGGGTGAGGGCCGTGGCTGGGGGGGCGAGGGGGAGCTCAGCACCTTTGGGACATCTTAGACCTTATCAATGCCTACAAGTATCTCAAGGGAGGGTTGAAGGAGGAGGGAGCCAGACTCTTTTCAGTGGTTCCCAGTGAGAGGACGAGGGGCAACGGGCACAAGCTGGAACAGAAGAGGTTCCACTCAAATATGAGGAGAAACTTCTTCACAGTGAGGGTGACAGAGCCCTGGAACAGGCTGCCCAGGGAGGGTGTGGAGTCCCCTTCCTTGGAGATTTTCAAGACCCACCTGGATGCTCCTGAGTAACATGCTCTAGCTCTAGGCAGTCCTGCTTCAGCAGGGGAGTTGGACTAGATGATCTCTATGGTCCCTTCCAACTCTAAAATTCAGTGAAATTCAGTGAAATCTCAGCTCGTTTATTTACCTTTCTGCTGCCCGGGCTGCGTTGTGAGGAACAGGTCACATTTACTGCGCTGTTCCTCCCGCCCGGCGTGTCCCTGCTGTGTAGCAGGCACTCAGGCACCACCTCACTGCTAAACCCCCTGTAGCAGTACGGGATGATGCTGCTGCAGCCCTGTCTCTGCCCCAGGGACCCGCTGGGACCAGGCACCCCCTTCCCTCAGCATCACCCCCGGCCACCCCCGCCTGGGCTTCCCAAGCACCAGCAAGCGAGAAGCTGCCCTTGCCCAAGCCAGTCTTGAAAAAAATAATCTATAAAAGTATTCTATAAATACTATAGAATTCAAACCCTGGTGAAGGTTACAGAAGAACAGATCAACAAAAGCACAGAGCAAATACATTTATTTACCTGTTACTTAAGACTATGCCAAAGGTTTCTCTTTGTGCTGCAGTGTTGGACTGGCACGATTAGCTGCTTTACAGCCCGGGGACGACTTAGGTATGGTCTGTACTGTACACACTGGAGACTGCTACGGCTGACGGGGTCCTAAACACATAGTAATTCACCTGCTGGGAATGTCTGCACCTCTTCCTGCCAGAGGATTCAACCTTTAAGCGCCCAAGAAAGACCCGTTTCCTCACACAGCTCGGTGTCCCAGCGCAGGGTGAACCCAGGCTGGGGGTGGGCTGCTGGAGAGGGGCAGAGCTTGCCCTGCGCTAAGGAGAGGTGGGAATCAAATGGTGAGGAGCCGGGACCAAACAGCTGGAGACATGAAATTAAAGCGGCCACCTTCCCCTGTGACAAACCCTGCCACTGCCCCCGCCTCCGAGGGGGCTGTGCTTTGACAAAGGCTCCTGAAGCAACAGGCAAGTATGGAAAAGTCCTTGGAAAAGCAGAAATGACAGTCCAGCCATGGGAACCACGCTCAGGGGCAATGAGAACTAACCCCTTGGCCTCGCCAAATCAGTCCCTCGAGCCTGCAACTCTGCATTAGGTGCACACTTACAAGGCCAAGGTGAGCTCCAGCTGCACGCCAACGGCCAGTGTTCTGGAGAGCCAGGCAGGAGGGAGATCAGAGCTCTGCTGGGACTACGGGCTGCCCCCAGAACCTGCGCACCAGCAAGGGTTTGCGCTCAGATGGGCATTTCAACTCACTTGAGGACACACTTGACACATATGCTACTGAAACCAATTGAGCAGGCATTCAGCAGCAGCCTACACAGGACCTTCAGCAAGGAGGAAGGACCCTGATGTAAGGATGGGGGTGCAGGACATTATGGCACACACCCCCCAGCATTTCTCAGGTGTAACTACCATGAGGGGTCAGGAGAACTTGGGTCAGAGCAGGCACTGAAAAAGAACTGAATGGCTGGAGAACTTCACCTGGCACCCACGTAATTTCAAAGTTCCCCAGAAACCAGCATCCAGTAGATAGCACTATCTGCATGTTTAATTTTAAGGCTAGTCCTTGAACTTGGGCTCTCCCAGGGCTTACATCACTGCTTCCTGCCCTGCCACTCGCGATGTGACCTGTGGGGTTAGCATTCCAGGTCCCAGGCTTTCTAGATTCCTATAGCCTATATTCTGGTGTGCCCAATGTGCTATGGCCTTTTTGAGCAATATGCATTTACCATACCAAAAAGCAAAGTAATTATTAAAAACAAAAAAAAAACCCAAGGAGATGAAATTGGGTCAAACGAAGACCTCCTGCAGCTGGTGCACTGCACAACCAGTGTGCCAGAGTTAAGGACACCAGTGAGAAAGCTGTGCTGAATGGGAATGGTCATCCATGCCCGAGCGTGTCCGAGGGCTGGCTCCAGCCCTCCTCATTTCTCTTTGCAGCGTGCCCCCTCTTACATGGGTACCTTGCTGTCAACGCTCCCGTCCCCCCTGAGCTGGCAGAACTGGGACAGCCTGCCATCCCCTGGGTTTGAACAATCCCCATGACACAGTGGTGTTGAATTACTGCACAATTCATAAAATTATAAGAAGAAAACTCAAGTTATTGAAAACCTACTGACAATAACTTCACTGAAACACTTTTACCACTTACATTTTTAACCCTTTGCCTTTAACACTACATAACGTTACATGAATTTACTAAAACTGTTACCAGCAAGTACAGCAGAACATCACTAAATCACATTTATAAGCCTAAAACCCATTCCCTTCTCTTCAGCTTTGCAGATCAGAGTATGTGACAGAGCACAGTGTCACGACGCATTCCCCTGTGCCTCGCGGCGATGCGTGTGACGCCTCGTGTGACGATGCCACAGCGCAGCAGCGGGGCTGCCGGAGGAGGGGCAGCAGCAGCAGCAAGCCCTCCTTACAACGTGGGACAGATCAGAAAGCCACAATTTCAGAGAGCTTGTAATAGGTGGGGCTTTATGAAAGAGCATTTAAGATTCTACTCTAATTACGCACATCGAGGAAAACATAAAAATAAAAACAGCATTCATTTAAAAAGCCTCAAAAAGCAGAATTCATACAAAATGAAAAGTATTCAAACATTTTTACAGTAGTTCACTACCTTTCCTAAATGGCACAGATTTCAAGTGGTTATGTGAAAGAAAAATCAGTAACATCTCAAATTTTGCCTGTAAGTTATTCTAGAAGCAGAATTTCTCTCTTCGTATTTGCTGCTAAAAGGAAGAAGTAAATGTGAACTGAGTATCGATGAATCTTTAATCTATGTATCTTCTGATTTGGTTTGATTCAGTAAGTAGAAAAGATTTTCCATACTCAAGTTATCTACAGATTATGTCTATATATAAAAAAAGGTGTGGATATATACATTTCATACACGCATACACGCTCGTACATATATACACAAACTGGTAATGGATTGTCTCCCCTCCCCAGCGGTGACCTGCTGAACCCAGCTCCACCCCAGAACCTGCTTTAAGGCTACACAGTGTACTGATTATGGGACAAGACATAGGCAGTTGCTCTTGGTCTGGGCTATAATTGTTCAACTTTGTGATCTATTGTTACACTTCTAGTTGCGCATGACGAAATTTCAATAACTTAGGATTTGTTGTATAAAAACAATTCCAGAAACAGAACTCCCTTATTAAAGGAACATCCCTGCTCCCACCCCCTGACGTTGTTTTTGCTAATTGATTACAGAAGTCAAACTAAATCACATCAGAAACAGCAAATGCACTCTTTTGTCTTAATCTAAACTAACGTGCATCAAAACATTCTGCAGCGTGGCATCTTTCGATTTTCTCATCTTCTCAATTGCCCTGTGGAGATCCTGCTGCTGCACGGGCCGAATTTCATCTTCGTCATGGCTTTAACAGAAAGGGAAAAAAAAAAAGCAAGGTAATGATTCAGGTGCTATGTAACAGCTATTCAAACATTGAGAAGTAATTGGAAACAGCAGCTCTGACATGGGTCCAGCATTACACTGGAAACATGCCCCTGTCTGTGCGTGCATTACCTGTAAGTATGAGAGATAATCAGAGGAACATCACAGCAAAGGGATTTACACGTGTGAGTAAAGAGTGTTACCAGCACATAAACCCGGTAATATAGTGCAGCGCAACCACTCTCTTGTTGGTTCATGCCACCTCGAGCTTGACAACTTGGAACAAAGTCTTATTTTCATAGTCAAAAGAAATAAATGGAACTTATTTGTTGGGTCTTTTCATTATATAATGGCAATTTGTCAAGAAAAAGAGTACCCCTGCTTTCTCTGAGTCATAGCGAGGTTTTCTAAACCTCTATAAATTTGCAATTCAAATCAGAAAATACAAACTAATAATTGGGCAGCATGTAGCACCAGAACCATTCACAACTGTTGTTCAGCTCTCCTAACAGACAGGATAAAGACACGTACGTCTCTTCTTCGCAGGCGGAGTTAACGTATTCCCTGACACAGAGGAGCGCTGCGTCCCGGCACATCTCCTTCAGGTCACTGCCCGAGAAGCCGTCAGTCTCTTTAGCAACTTCAAGGAGATCAACACGCCTGTCCACCTGTCCAAAAACATGAAGCATGAAAACTCTGAAGTCACTTACTTTTGTTCATCAAGGACAAGAAACAGCCGCCTCCAAGTATTTTTACCTGCCTTAAGAAGAACTTTTTCAGTCTTGAATTTTTTTGAGAGCTAAAAGAAAATTATTTTATTAACTTACATTTTGAACCCTCCAAGTAGTTCATTTCATTACATGAAACCGATGCTTCGTCTTGCAAAACTCTGTAGCTCATAAATAGAAAAAAACCCACAGGCAACCAAAAGCAAACCATCATATTGTTATATTCCATTACTGACGAAGCTCCCGTGTGGCTCTGGAAGCCTACTGCGTGGCAGAAACTGGATCACAGAAAAAAACCGACTGTTTCCCAAGTGTCCACACAAGTTTCCTGCAACAGCACTGCTTTTTTTGGTAAAGGGCTCAATCAGACCCTATGTGCATATTTTTACCTATAGACAATGAACACTACCCAACAGGTCTCCTTTTTTATACTTTATTTGAAAGAGCACATTTTGTAACGGAGTAAAGCTGGAGAAAGTTCCTGTCACAATTAGATTTTGTTGTTGCCACCTTTCAGAGTAAGAACTTCAAAAGCAGTTGTTCACTGTCTCAGCAATTCAGTTATCTGCTGAGCTACAGCACAACCACTCCTACTTTACACAGGAACTTGCACTGGATTGGAGACAACTCTTTCCAGCCAAGACACCATATTTGTTCAGTCCGTTTACAGAACCTCTGATAACAGCCCCTTCCAGCACATTTTCCAATGCATCAGGATTTTATTTTCAAAACAGTTAAAAGTCAGGCTAGTCTAATAAAAGGCCGAACTTAAGGAGTGACTTCTTCTAAGAGGGAAGCTGTTCTGAGGCAATGAAGGCAAAGCCCCAAGTACAATCTTCACTGCTTCCAGCTACCCCTTCGACCCAAGCACTCCCCAGGATAACCCAAGAAGGGGCTGACATCCACCGAGCACCCTTCCAATTCCTCACCATACCTCCCACTTCTCTTGAAGGACAAGGGTTATAGTGATCCTGTCCTGTCGGCTCAAATTGAGCTTGGACTTGAGACCCAGCTCCCTGACCTATGACTTGGCACACACTGCTGTGATTTGGGTCTGGAGTGAGCCACCGGGCTCCCCAGGGGAGTAATGAAGGCAAAAGGGGCAGCTGGCTTATACCAGAGTGCCTCCTACTTCCCTTTAAAGACTGATCCCACACACAAACACCGGTGACAGTCAGCTGTGCAGCTGCAACCTATTAGCTCCATTTGGGGCTGAAGCCCATCAAGCATGTGAACAGGGCAGCACAGCTGGCTAAGGACACACAGAAAATGGGCATGTTGTGTAGCAGGCATTAACAAGGATTTCCCTTCGTCTGATATAGAAGAAACAAGATTTTAAGATAGGCAGGGAAAACGGAGGGCATGACTCCCCCTGTCCTGTGAAGGACTGCCAGGAAGTTTGTCCCCCGGGCTGAAAATAAGCTGGGCTTGAGAGATTCAATTCCATCTCCTCCTATGGGATAACCAAGACAGGCTGATATTTTTTTTTCCCCCGCTGAAAAATTTTGCTTGTGTGTCTGTGATCCACTACCAGATACTTGTTATACCTTGCATTCTTTCAGGATTTAGGTTTAGGTTTCAAAATTATTTAGGTTTCTGCTGCAGGCCTTAAGGCCAAGGTGATGCAACTCCCAGGCCCAGCTGCTGAGGCAAAGGAGCCACAGCATCCACCTGTGTGGAAGGGCTGGGGGCTGCAGCTATTCAGGGAGCCTATATAAAGGTCCATTATTTGGCATACCTCCCTAACAGCTCTTGAAAAGAAATTTGAGTCTAAAATCACCACTTCCAAGAGATGGTTTAGTTTGCTTGAGATTCTTCTGCAAACAGGCCATTCTTCCTCCACAACTCCTTTAGTATTTCATCTCTGTTCTGTTTCCATATCTATGTCTGAGTATTTCACAAAAAAGCCAACCTATATTCTAATCCTACACAGCAATCCACAATGATCATTTGCAAAGCAATCTCCCCACCATCTCAGCCATTCGCAATGATAAGCTGTGATTTTTAGGTCTCTTAAAAAATCTAAGTTGATTTTACTAACAAACGATAGGTGTTAGGATAGACCTCAATCAAGAGATACGTTGCAACATGAACTTTAAGACAATTAGTGCTGGAGACTAAATTTGGCAGGAACCTCCGATAACGCGGGTTCCATATCCTGCCAACAGACAATACCAGATGCACTCACAGCTACTCCTTCCCCGCATCTTGGAATGCAGATGGTGACATGAACACCATACAATATTAGTAACAACATCTAAAGCAAATATGAACTATGGAAAAGTGCAAAAAGCAGCACTGTCAGAAAATTCCTCCCTTCCTGACTTGAGCCAATAGACTGTACAGAGTTAAAAAAACATGCAGTATCTCTTCTCCCCACTTCATGATTTCTTTCACTGCTTAAAATGATTTCCAAACATGATTCACCTTCAGCATCTCTAGAGAGATAAATATGCTATCCTGTTATATAACAAGAAAATGGACACAGAGAAATGAAGTCCTTTTCCTTGGAGATGGTGTTTCACCACAGAGTCCAAGACTGCTGCTCTGACTGAGGCTCATGCTTATACCAGTAGGCAACTCTACTGCTTCAGTTTAATGCCACACCTAAACCCACAAAAGATTCCTAAATTATAATCAGACTCTCAGAGATAATCTCTACCTTAATCCAAGACAGTCAATTATAATACGTGTTTTCTATAACTCCAGAGCTTGCACTCATGAAAACAGTAACACAGCAAATTAACCATTAAAGAAGTAAACTTACATTTTCATTTTTCAAAATCAGCTTCAAGATTGCTTCTCTTTGTTTCAGAGCCTTAAACGAAAGAGATTAAAGTTACAAAAAAATAAAACATATGTATCATTGATCTCAATTTTGCACTCCGTGGACTTTCGGTCGCAGTTCAGTGACGCAAGCCAATCCCTCAAATGAGAGATGTGATACCCACCAAGGTAACCAGACTGATGGCAAATCACTCAGGAAAATGAGATCTAGGGTATTCTGACTACAGGAGTACATGAAACTAAGCATTTGAGCATACACAGTTACACTAACTACAGGGAGAGAGAAAATGCACTAATTTTTAGTCTTACATTGCCCTAAGTTTCTGAAAACAGCTGTCTCTAAAGTTTTGCCATCATCTTTAATGGAAGATACACTACCGGTACACTACCTAGATCTACAGGATGCTCTCAATAATTTTCTAAATGAGATGAAGAGGATAAACTGTTCTGCTTAAAAAAAAAAAAAAAAAAAAAAAAAAAGAAAAAAAAAGAAAAAAATTTAATTCTACAGATGATTCTTGGAAATTTTAAGCAATGTAAATCACATACCGTGAAAAGACTACTGAAAGAAACATTTAAGTACTGAGTGTATCCTTCATAAGCAAGGTAAAACACAGGCAGCAAAGAGCCTCGTGCCTCCCAAAACCAAACTTTCTCTAAATTCACTTTCATTTTTAAAAAGGGAAAAAACCACCCCATAGATACTGTGTCTCAAAAAATACTCCTTCCATTTCCCTCTGCCTTGCAGATAATTTCTCATGAGGAACTGTGAGCATTTTCACCTCAAACTTAGTTATAAAATCTGCAAGGCTTTAGTTACTCCACAGCAATACTGTGCATACTTCCAACCCACAGCACAGAAATTACCATCCCCTGTAATGCCTCGAGGCATTGTTACCTGCGGATATCTCACTCTTCTAATAATTGTTCTTGATAGAAAGACACAATAAAGTACTAAAACGCACATCCTCACCCCTTACTAATTCAAGGAAAACTTGAAGATGAACAAGGTGCAGGAAACCCCATAGGCAGGCATTGCAGAAAAGCAGTTACTGAGTTATACATGCTTTGTTTTGAGAAGTATCCACCCACAAGGAGTGAAAGCCAGTTCAAACAAGACAGTTCTGGGAACATGACTACTCTCTTGCACAATCAATAAGGGTTTTACTCCTCCAGCTTTGTCTCTAAGTTTTTGAAAAATAACCCCAAACGAATAATGAAGGGTATTTCTGTAGCCAGAAGGGAATACTGAAAACCACAACTGAACTCCTCGATACAAAAATGTCTTGTGATATCACCAAGCGTTCAAAGCAGATAATACCTTGAAAAGGATGGCAATAGCAAAATTTATTAGTAAAGGTAACCTTGTGATGGCTGGCCAAATTGATAAAGGCCTTAATTATACCTGTTTGGCATAAATCATAAGCAGAATAAAAACAGTTTTCCAGACTGCTTGCTGCACCTGGCTGTGGAAAGGCTTGAGCAGAATGTAGGCTTCGATATGCAGATTTTATTCCCTCTTTTCTCCTTGAAAACTAAATACTGTGTATCCAGAAGGTATAAATGGTAATCAATATGTACTTGCCTCTTGACATTATTTGACCTGGGTGCCTCTCTGCCCTGTAAGCAAGTGTGTGCAGTCATTTTTGTGCTTTTTGTGGTTGTTTTCAAGTTACAATTAAGCTCTTTCCAGAGTGCAGCGTCTAAGCCACTCTGTTCTTATAGATGAAGCAAACGGGAGGGAAGCTCTCAGAGCACATGGCATTGTTTCAGATAAAAAACCCAAGGAATCCAGATTTCTGTGAGAAACTTCTAACTTCTCCTTAAAAAGCCAAGTTATATATGTGCTTTTAAAAAACTAAAACCAGATCAAAATAATACAGTATTTCTTTGAAAAAAACCCAAAACCACAGAGATGTGCGTTCCCTGGCTGATAAGCCTGTAGCTCATCCACTGGGCACACTGTTCAGGCAAACCTGTCACGACTTACAGGTTGGTTGATGTGAAACCGGGTTGGCATTCTTCTCATGATTGCAGAGTCAAGGTCCTGAGGACGGTTGGTGGCTCCCATCACTATTACCTGCATACACCAGCAGAAAAGAACTAGTCAGCCTGAACCCAGCTTTTGAAAACATCGCCATATTGGAGTTTCAAAACCAAACATGTGACTCTTTCACACTTTATCAAGAACATTGACATTTAAAGAAGTTACACAAGGTTTCTCAGTACTGATTTCAGCAAGTGAATTTAAACAGGCAGCTTAGGAGAGCATTGGTACCACAGAGTACCAGATTTTTACATTAGTCTGAAGCTTCCTGAGCCCAATTTCAAAGTTCAAACTCTAAGCAGTAAGCCAAGACTTCTGCTTGTAAGTCTTGGCAATGTCTCCTTAGTTCCTGGTGGTCTGGAAGTAGCTTGAAAGGAGGCATTTTGCTGAGGTATTAAAAAATGTGGCTTTTTGTGCCGTGTGGAAAAAAGGCAATCAGCTCACCAGGACAACCAAACTGGCAGCTCTTGCATGCACTAAGATGTTGTTTCTTTTTTTTTTTAAGCATTAAAAAAAAAAGGCATTAAAAGTCAGTAAGAACCTATATGGAAGGGTATACTGTAACAGCAGTGCATTAGATGTGCACAAGCCAAGTTCAATACAAGGAGAGTATTTACCTCATTTAACCACATTCCAGTTATTAGTTTAAGAACAAATTTACTTCCAACTCACATCAGCCTCGTTTTCTCATTTGTTATTGTAAGTTATGTACATTGTAAATACCAAGACATGAAAGTGAAAAGTGTCAGGGAAATTAATCTTGTACCAAGACAGCTTCCTGACGTGCTCCTGGTCTTTTGTCCGGGGTTACTGTTCCGCAGCGAGCCCTGGCACCCCAGCAGCCCCGGGCTGGGCTGGCCGCCGTGTCCCGCATGGAGTCACCCTGCCACCTACAGGCCTCATTATACGGCACAGAAAAGGCCAAAAGGCACGTTTCTCACTAGGGCTCCTCCAGCAGCCTTCACCTTCTAGAAAGCATTAGGCATGAAAGGATGATCAGGGGGATGGAGCACCTCTGCTACGAGGACAGGCTGAGGGAGCTGGGGTTGTTCAGCCTGGAGAAGAGGAGGCTCCGGGGAGACCTAATAGCAGCCTTCCAGTACCTGAGGGGCCTACAGGAAGGCTGGGGAGAACCTGTTTAGAAAGGCCTGCAGGGACAGGACGAGGGGCAATGGCTTCAAGCTGGAGGGGAACAGATTTAGACTGGAGATGAGGAGAGGGTTCTTCACTGTGAGGGTGGTGGAGCACTGGAACAGGTTGCCCAGGGAGGTGGTTGAGGCCCCATCCCTGGAGATATTCAAGGTGAGGCTCGATGAGGCCCTGGGCAACCTGGTCTAGTTGGGGGTGTCCCTGCTGACTGCGGGGGGGTCGGACTAGATGGCCTTTGGAGGTCCCTTCCGGCCTGGGCAACTCTATGATTCTATGAAAGCCCTTTGCCCTTGCCTGCGTGCCAAACACATGCTGATGTTTGGCTGAAGCTGCCTCTTGCCAAGACGCATCACTGTACTCATGCTGTGCAGCCCCACGCTCTGGATCAAGGCCCAACGTTGGACCCCATTTTGCTCCCTCTGTGCTACTGGAGCTGAGAAGCCTTCTCCAAACCAGCTTTGCCTACATGTTCTGCCAATGTGGGAACCCCTCAGGGCACAAATGCAGCTGGTACAGAGCTTCCAGACTTGAATTGCCCTTTCAAGCAGCACAGCTCTGTTTTCCAGGCACTGTGCCTCAAGTTCCTGCTGGGCTCAACACTACATCCTTGGTGGGTTTAGCCCAAAGCTCAACACACTTTTCAGGTGCAATCGACACAGGAACAAATAACACTCATCACAGCGCTTATTGACAATTTCCTTCCAGCATTTGGAATTTCTGTTACTTAACAAAAGCCAAATATAATCCTTATTCAAAGGAAATTTGTTTGGCAAAAATCAGACAAGAAACACAAAGCTCCCAAGTGAACATCCATAATTAACAAAAGAGCCCAGTGAGCTGGCTGTCAAAAACTGAGACAATGCAAATGTGAAAACCATCACAAAGAACACTTCCTGAAATGCAGTGACAGGTTGGGGAGGAGCCTGAAAAACAGTATTGAAACAAAACACTCCGGACGAAAAACTCCTCAGAAACCTGAATCAACCCCTGCAGTGTCTCCAGCCAATTGTTTGCATTGCATTTTACTTCAGTGGCTCCCTGCTACCACTCTTGTAAGGGACAAGAGTGACTTGTTCAGGCTCTGCATGCTGAACTTGAGAGATGGGTAAGACCACGTATTGTCTGACTGCAGGGAATGAACAGTTTGACTTGCTCTGAAGAGTTGTCAGTGTATTGGGGAAAAAAAGATAATACATTCAAACATTGGAAGAAATGTGTGTTTGCAAGATCATGTTAGCTTCCAGTTAAGTGTTTACACCACTGGCCTCTTATTAATGGTTATCAAACACTCTGCTTTAAAGGCCCTCAGTATATATATTCACTGTGTTCTTATCAGTTTTTCAAAAAAATCAACTGAAAAAAAATCTTCAGCACAAGCTTGAGAGAGGAGGAAAAGCAGATTTTACAAAGAAAGAACTAATGGACATCAGAGCATCGGAACCCATTCACAGAAAAATACAGATTAAAAAGACTGAAAATTTAAAAATTGGAGAACACACATCCTTTTAATAGGCCTTAAAAAGATTGCTCCAGGTGACAGTTCAGAAACATACCAAGCAGGCTTTCTTCTATGCTACATTCAAGTCATTTATTTCATAACTGTTTTTTGTTTGTTTGCTTTTACAGCACCAGCAGCTGTTGTACTTTTTTTTCTCTCCAAAATACAATAATTATGTTGAGATTATTGGAGGGGAATGGAAGTGTACAGGAATAATGAGATGGAAGCATGGTTCTATTTAACAGAACCTGCCCTTGGATAACACCAACTTCTCTACCCTTTAAGATTAACTGCAGAATCTAGCGCTTGTCTAATGCCAGTCCAATGCTTTTCTGGAAACAAACCAACCAACTTGCAATTGAGATGAATACTTAGATCTTTCAATACCTTTCCTGAAATCAAAGATTCACTTCACCTCAAGAAAATATTATTGACAAAATGGTTTTCAAAACAGTATAAAAAGTCCTAATTTCAACAGCTCAAACTATACAGCTATATTATTGAGACTTAAGACACTTCTAAAAATAACACCTCTTAATTTAAAACAAAATAGATACAAAACCAATTTTCTTAAGAAGAAAAACAATCTATTAATATAACTCATCTCATTCCCATAATACTGGTAATCACTAACACCGACAAGTAAAGAAACTCTTTTGGCAATTACTACTACATGCAATCTACTACTCTTCCCAAACAGCTCAACGCACAATAACTGAGAGAGAAGAATCACATTACTTTTCCCACCATCCTGTGTACTTACTTGGCAGTTATAATCGGTGTCCAGTCCATCCCACAGACTCATGAACTGAGCTTTCATCATAGCTGTAGCTTCATGATCAGAACTCGACCGATTTCGTAAGAAGGAATCTGTATTAAAGGATTCAGTAAAGCAGTTTACTTTCAGCACTGCCATAGAAACTATGCTGTTTGATTTCTCATGTGTAAACCTGTGCTGATAGAACCATAGAACGGTATGGGGTTGGAAGGGACCTCTGGAGATCATCTAGTCCAACCCCCTGCCAAAGCAGGTCCACCCAGAGCAGGTTATAGAGGAATGTGTCCAGGTGGGTTTGGAATCTCCATCTTATTTTTAATAAACATTGTCAACAAATGAAAAATACTTCTCATGACCAAGAACGGGGAGTGAAATCCCACCATATTTTTAAGCACATCTTTTAAATTACATTACACAAGTATGTACCTATCGCATGAGATAAGTTTCCCAGATTTCATGCTCCAAATTTTCACTTCCTGAATTCATGGGAAGTGCAACTTTCACCTTAATTTCTCATGGAAGCATTCAGAGCTGGGCAAGCTACAAGACACCAAAGCACTGCAGAACAGCAAGCTGCAAGACTGACATAAAGTAGGCTATACACTTTGTTGTTCAGAGCTCTACCTCTGCTACAGATTGCCTAAAGAATTTCCAACAGCTAGAAAAATACATTTTTCACACCTATATAAAAGGATAGAAAGCATCTTAAGAACGTATCCCCCTCATAAACCTGAACTGTGGAAAGGGGAAAAGCTTTACCAGGCTCTGTTTCTGCAAACGGTACAACTCACTTGAAGAAGTGCCAGTGCTACAATGAGCAATTTTAACTGAACTGCTCAAGTTCACAGGGACTTAAACACTAATGTGACAAGTCCAAATGCACTGTACAACTGGCAGCTTGGTATCTTCCTAGCTGAACTCCTCCTCCTACTTCTTCAGCCTTATTAAACTACTATTCCCGAGTTGTCCTAAAGCTCTATTTTATTTTCCATTATTTTCCTCACGGCAGAAGTGCTGAAGTGTATTTGGTGATGTGTTTCCTGAATAAGTAGTTCCCTTGACAGAAGTAAAGCTTTCCTTGTGAACCACCTTAGCCCAACCAAAAATAAGCAACAACTTGTTCTATTTCTAATTTCCTCCACTAACATGAAGAACAAATACACTGTTTTTTCTAATTTGACACCATTACTTTACCATACTACTTATACTAGTAGACCTTGTTCCATTATCACTCTTAAGGAAAAGATGACAGTAGATCAATATACCCATCAACTTGAACCTACAGTTTAATGTCACTCTGCTATAGTTACCTACAAAAAAAAAAAAAATATATATTTTTTACCTATTTCATCAATAAAAATGATGGATGGTTGTAGCTTTATAGCAAGGGAGAAGACAGCAGCAGCCAGTTTTTGAGACTCTCCATACCATTTGTCTGTCAATGTTGAAGGCTGGAGATTAATAAATCGACAACCTGCTTCCTTTGCGGTAGCTTTGGCGATCAGTGTTTTGCCACAACCAGGAGGGCCATAGAGAAGTACTCCTGAAAAAGTAACAGCGTTAATGCTCTCTGGTCACTGTACAAAAAAACATGCTTTGGTGTAACAGACCTGATAGTGTCTGGGCTTCTATTTTATCAAAGTTTTAAAAGATAAGAAACCAAGCTACACAGGGTTCAAATCAAATACAGAGTTATTTAAGATACCCTTATTATAAAATTGCAGCTAAGAATATCTAAAAACAGGTATGGTGAAATTGAAGAGACATTTGTCTCAAAGATGGCTGTTTTACTACTGAGACTATTAAGGTTACATATAACTAAAACCCTATTTATTTCCTCTAACGATTTGACAAGCCTTGTTTATAGCCAGTTTCAGTCTTGATAATAAAACTTAGCACAGAGGGGGAGAATAAAAAAACTCCACATTTTAAACAAGTAACTCACAATTAAATATGATACCTCATATTACTTTGAACTCATAATAGTAAAAGAATTCACAGTAGTGCTTTTGTAACATAGTTGCAAAAAAAAAAAAAAACAGTTTAAAGAAAAAAAAAAGTCAAGCCTGAAGCAGAGAATTACTAGGGGTTTTTTTCTGTTTATGGGACTGACAACCACAAACGTAATTACTCTGAAGCAATGACTTCCTATTTACACACAGCAATAAAAATCAGGAGTTTACTCTGTATGGAAAGTCTGCTTTAAAAAGACAATTTATTTATTTTTTTTCATAAATAATTTTTTCCTTCAGCTTATTAGATCATGACATTAAAATACTTTTCCAGACAGTTTCGTTTTGCGACTTAAACAGAAAGCAGCCTGGAAAAACCATACCAGTTACAAAAGTGCTTCATTTTTCATCACTTAGGACACGAAACTGAGATGGTCACAGACACTGGCAGTAATTAATAGCTTTCAGGGGATTTTCAGAAGACAATATTTCAGGGATTACAGCAGTAGAGATAAACTTTGGCATTTTCTCCAACATTTTTAGCTTCAAATTCTGCTTGTTTGCAGTAACATATACCAAATGTGGCTATAAGCATTCCAGCTGACAAACACCAACTTCTGTTTTACTGTTGGAAAGTTAATTTGTCACCCACCAGTTTGCTTACTGCCTCAATACCGTGCAACTCAACTCCTGAGAAAATCTAAGGATTTCTACAATAAAAATGGGAATCTCTGCCTCTTTGAATGACTGGAGTTTCTAGGACTAGAACAGCGAGACATCTGCAAGATTAGCTTACATTGATGTCTCATGTTTATGACATGTTTCTACGACACTGTAGAAATATTAACCAAGTTTACAAAGCCGTACAGCAGAGTCATAGCTCACTTCTGCCAAAGGACAAGATGGGGCATAAGGAGAAAAAAAATTGACAACTGAGGCAGTTAAAAATGCAGGCTACATAGATTAGGGCACTAAAATGTACTATCAATAACTGAAAACAATTATTGCTTCACTATTAAGATGAAACTTATTCACCAGAACTTGATGTCACAGCAAGAGAAAAGAAAAAACCTGAGGGTTTTCCCTGGCATCAGTCCTAATGGTTGCACTTTGGACCAGCAACATACTTCCTCTTTCTCTTCTGGGTAATTGTAACCTTTTTTTTTTCTTCCCTTTTTTTTTTTTTTTTAAATATGAACATATAAATCCGTTAACATTTCCTTCCTACCTTTTGGGGGCTGTAAGAGCCTGGAATTCTCAAATAAATATTTCTTCTTGATGGGCAAAATGACAGTGTCTTTCAAATCTGTAATAACATCATCTAAGCCTGCAATATCACTCCAGGTTACCTAATATGGAAAAACAGTATTAGAAATTATCATCATGGTCCCTGCCAACATAAAATATTGACAAGCTTAAAAGTAGCGTAAGGCCACAAAAATAAAAAAGCCATTAAAAAACCCTTGGCTCTCAACAATGCAATTTTAGTTCTAAACAGAAATATTTTCTATGTATTTCCATAGATACATATATATGACAAATCATGTAATCCTAAGTCAAAATCAAGATCTTCCACGTCCAAAGTGCCTCCATTGGAGTAGCATGGAAAAGCTTCTTACATGCATGCTAAGTGGGTCTACGAGATGTGCAGCAATACTCATTTCGTATTCAGTAAGCTTGACATTTTTCACTCCAATTTGCTTCATTAGCTTTTCAGCCTGGGGGAAACAAAACGCCAAGAAAATCAGAGAAAGAAACCGAATGCTTAATTCAAAAATTAGTTTTTAAAGAACAGCTATCTGAATCCTGAAGAAGGCTGAAGTAGAAGGTTCTGCTATTTCCTAATGATTTGCTGTCACTTGAGTGAAACTAAGTCATATGTCTCAGTTCCCATCAAATAAGCATCACACCAGCTCTCCCACCCGCAAAAACACGAGTCATACATTATGACCAAAATGAACATTAAAACACAGAGTTTGCTGTTCAGAGCAGGTTTGCAGACACACAGGTAATCTCAGTACAAAATAACTTCCATCATCCCTACAGGAATTTCAAAGCTGATATAGGTACGTTACACTTCAAAAAGAACCAGATGAAGTCCTTACAAACTTTGCACAGGATTCAGATGAAAAATCTGAAACTTGCTATTAAATAGAACTCTATAGAGCTCTTTCATGGGCTTAATTATCTTCATTCACAACCCTGCAAATAGTACACACACGCTTTAATGAGAGATATAATTCTGTGATTATAAAAAGCATGCCTCTCCCAAACCTCCACAGCACCACATCAAGGAGACGTTAGTATATTTTAAAAACAAAAAACCCAAACCCGATAATTCACAGAAGCCAGTAATATATTTTTTTTCTATGTATTCAATGTTTTCTTTTTCCCAATTTAAAAGGAAAACTCATTCTTTGGGTTAACACACTTTCACAATTCAGTTTCTCTTTATACTCAAACTTGTGGTTAAGTCTGATATGCTCTTGGAATATTGCAACCTCTTATATAATGGCTGGTGCTAGCAAAGATTGTGAAAGCTGATTTTTAAAGTGGGACCAATTTTTTACCCAAAGATTTTGTTAAAAACACAAACCCACCCAAAATAGAACTAGGTTGCTCAAAACTGCTGTTTGAATCTGTGAAACGTGTGTCAGCCATAAAAAAAAAAAAAAAAAAGTTGCAACATTTCCCTTCAATACTTTCCAAAGGAAACATTTAACTTTTGGTTTTGAAATACACCTAAATCTTTTTCTCAGAAGACACTACAACAGCGATCCTGAGATTTACTAAAAAATAATTATAGCTTTTTTTGATTGTTCCACATGTTTTTGTTGATTATTTCATTGGTTATTGCTAGTCCAGCTTTCAGTTAGCAGATTTCTCTGTATGAGTGGCAATGAACAAGACAGCATTTCACAGAAATATTTATGAATAAAATCCTACCTGTTTCTGAGCTTCTACTTTTTGCTTTCTGGTCGGATCAATGGCATCAACCATCCATTTTATGGTAAAATATGTTACAGCACCAAATATGGTTAAACGAAAAATTAATCCGACCACTTCATTCCGGCTCAGGGGACGTGAAAATGCTTCGGCATGCACCATTTTGCCTCCCAACACTAAATGTAAAATAGTGCAGGGAGGGACAGAAAGAAAGAAATTTAAAGTTGAGAAAACATCTGTCTTATGTATAAACATAATTTTATAAAAACTATTTCCCATGCATGCAGTGGGCATAAAGCTTACCATGAACTTATAATGAAATATCTCAACAATAGCACAACCCCAACATATAATCCTGTGTAAGATCAAAACATGCAGCGCTGAGTATAACAATGGTTTCACTCCCACTCTCACTAAGCAGAGAAGAAATGGCGGCAACAATTCGAGGCCTTACTTCTGGACTGACTACATGTGAAGAAGTCCTGATTCCACTCTTCCCTCAAGAAATCTGCATTCCTTTCAGCTATACGATACCCTAATAAAGTAATAAAGACTACTTTATTTCAGTGCCAAGTTTGTATTCCCATTAAGACTGACATTTTGTGACCTTTATTGACCCCAGAATGCTAAGTCATGGAGACAAAGATAACTACATTATCTAAACAGGGAGTTCTCTTTCCTAAGAGGAAGTTTAAAGGAAAGGCACTCAATTCCCACATTAAAGAGCAAGTGACAACTTGTATTTGAATAAAATGAGGTTAAGAGCTGCAGCCTGCACCTAGCAGAATATATTTTGAGTTATTAATATCCCTGGAAAATTGAAAATGCTAGATGTGGCACACGGCTACCAAGGGAAAAGGCCGGCTGCTATACAAGCTGAACCCAGGAAGTACAGTACAGGGAGCATGCTGTAGAGAGGAAAAAAATCTCTTCTTAAAACATTGAAAAATTACTTATCAAGACGGGGTCCTCTTTCCCCAGTCTACTTTCTCCTCAGCTGGTGGGGTTTCCGCTTGAGAGTCCCCAACACTCTCCTTGCTCGCTGCCTGATTTCACCACTCCAAGGGCAAAAGCAGTGGCAATTCCTCTGACAGCTTCCAGCGCTCCCTGGCTGGTCTCCAAATGGAGCTGTCAGCCAGGGAGAAGCCGGGCTACCTACAGCCAAGAAATCCTGGAATTCCCCCCTCCTGGCCTGGTTAGTGGTCGCATGATGTCCACCCTGTGTTGGACTCCAGGCGATGCCCCAGCACAGGGCCTGCTCTCAGGGGTTTGCCAGGCTGGCAGCAGGAGAAGCACCACCACTCATCTACCAAAGGACGCCAGCGGCTCGCTACGATATTCCAGTGTGGGCCCGTAAAACAGTTTTGGTTTCGTTTTTTTAAATTCTTTGTTCTCTGCTCAGGAATATAAAAATTAAGGCTGTTGCTGTGCACACCTAGTTGGAAATCAAGTAAAATTTGCCTGCTTAGGCATCTAAGCAGAGCTAGGAGATTCTGCTTATTCTCTTTAGCCTGATTAATTACAATAAAAAGGGCAAACAAGCAAAAAAGCTTCCAAAAAAGCCCCAAAGCCCAACGGAAAAAACACACGTTTAATGCAATCCTTGCCCTGAATACCAATCATAAGAAAAAGCTTTAGCAGAAGAGAAATTTAAGCATAACCTTTCCAACGAAGTTCTGCTTGCCCTGCAAGAATTTTAGCACGTATTTTCTAGGTAGATGGCCGAGATAACGAGGAAGACAGCTAACTGCCCAGCAGACCCCAGACCCCTAACGCTGCCTCAGGGCGGCCGAGGGCACGGCTCGGTTCCCGGAAGGGCACCCCGGCCTCTCCCCGCTTCCCCTCCAAGGGCTCGGCTTCTGCTCCCCGGGGCTGCTCCCCAGACAGGCCACCAAGACCGGTGTGGGGCCGGCGGTGACGGGAGGGAAGGGGCACGGCCGCCCTGCCCAGCCGAGCCCCGGTGAGGGCGGGAGCAGGCATCGGGGAGCCCCGGGGCCCGGCCATGGCGGCGCGGTGAGGCGAAGGCGGCACCGGTGAGGGCCGGGCCGGACACGCCGCCCGTGACCTTCCCGCCGCCAGAGCAGGTGCCGGCAAGGCGGCGGGCGGCTTCTCGTTCTCCCTCCCGCCGGGTCACTCACCCCTCGGGCCGGTCTCTCGGAGGCACAGGCGGAGGGAAGGAGGAAGGAAGGAAAGGAAGGAAAGAAAGAAGGAAGGTGGCGGCGGCGGCAGCGGCGGCAGCAGCGCGGGCCCGGGCACGGCGGCGGCGCGTCCCGCGCTTCCCCCTCCGGCCGGCTCCCGCCGCCCCGCACCGAAGGTTCCGCCCGCCAGAAGAAGGTTAAAAATAAGGGAAAGTTTCGGAAAACGCGGGGTTTGGGATGCTACAGGGATCTGCCAGAATGAAAATCGTCGAAACGTAAGGATTCATCTGTAGTTTGCTAAGAGATACTGAGGTAATGATTTGCCCATTTCAACTTGTAATGAGAACAGTTGATATATATATCTCTACAGGTAATAACAGATATATATCTCTGTAGATAATAACAGAATATATCTCTAATATATATCTCTAATAACAGAATATATCTCTTCTCTAGAATATATCTCTATAGATAATAACAGAAAAATGTCCAGAAAAAGGTGAAGGGGATCTTTGTAACAAGAGTAATTAATCCAAAGTTTTGGCAATTTGCCCCCCAAACCCTTCCGCTGGGGTGTCCCTGCCGCTGAAGGTTTAAAGCCTTTCAGACCCAGAGAGCCTCACCACTCTCCTTTGTGCTCCCCTGTCATTCACACCTTGTCCCGCGGCTTCCTGGCAGGGTTGTGATTCATTTGTCAAGAGCAGTTAGCTTTTCATACAATGCTAATTTTATTATGGGTCATTTTCAAACATCATTCCTTGTACACCAAGGCAGGTGCTTCACTCGCCAAGGAGCCTCCTGAAGCTGCTGGTGGCTGCCACAGACAGAGACCTGTGGAGCATATCTTCTGCTCTCCTTTCAAGTTTCCAGTTTTTTTTCCAGTTTCATGCACTAGGAAAACACTACTGTGTTCAAGTTACCATCACCATAGGAAAACATTTCAGACCCTTCTGTTTTTTCTCCCACTCTTTAATAACAGATCAGATCTTCTGCTCCGTAACTCCTCCACTGTACTTGCTCCACCAGCACGGCCTCAGGTAGAGAATGTGATGCTGAATTTCCTCCCTGCAGCTGATCTGGCTCGTGCTGAACCCCAGGCACACTGTCCAGTCACCCAGGCGGGATGTCATCCACCCCACCAGTCATCACTCCAGCCATGTGTGGTGTTTCCATCATTAAATCCATGTGCAGAAAAATTTTTATCAGAAAAATTTAATCAGAAAAGAAATGTGTCAGTGTTTAAATGCACCTACTGATTTACAGGCAGCCTGCCTTTTCTGCTGCTCCTCCAGTCTTTGATGGTAAATAAGGTTATAATCTTCTAGAGAACTGTTTTCTTTTTTCAATCTATGTAGAATATGTGAACAGTTTACCTTTGATGTTTTTAAAATGAACTAGATGTAATTAGTGATGCTGACAGCTTTTGCTATTAACTTGAGGCTTATACTCATTCTTGCAATCACGCTTTTTGAATAGAAAAAGGATAATCAATCGTTTCACTGTCTGAGTTTCATGCACTAGGAAAACGCCATTGTATTCCAATTACCATAATCGTAGGAAAATATTTAGGGCCATTCTGGTTTTTCTCCCACTCTTAGTGACACCGGTTTTGCTGCAATTAAGGAGAAATGCAAACACTCACACAAGTAATAAAAGCTCGAAACCTACATTGTGTCACTGCTGCCTGACATTAACATTAGTAACACTAAAGAACCAATATTGATCCCAAAACCATATAAAATATACAAGGATTATACTCAGCCAGTTCTGTCAGGAGGAAGCAGTGCACTCCCAGCAGTGGACAGCAAATGTTGGAGACTGAGAGTGCCATGGCTTCGGGAGGAAGGGAAGGGCGCAGGGGTCCGGCACCAGGGCCCAGGTTCTCAGGATCATAGCCATCATAGACGAGGAGAAACACTTCAGCAAACTGTGTAATTTATATTGAACGTGACATTCATGAAATAATCCTGTTGGTCAGCCTGGGTCAAATGCCCAGGCCTTGCTCCTCCTTGTCCCTGCACCTGGCAAGGCTCAAAAACACTGAGACCTTGAAACCCACAGAGCCTGGCTGGCTATAAAGTAAATCTTTGTACAAGTTCAGACCCCCGAGTCTTCTAAAAGTGCAGTTTTCCCAAGCATTAGAAGATAAATTAGTCCTGTGTCATTTGAAGTAGGACACTCACTCTAGAATCTGATCCTACGGTGGTCTCCACCAAGTCTCCATCCCTCTGGTACCACTGGAGCTTTCTCCGTTTGCACAGCCCTGAAGATGGCAAGGTCTTGCTTGTGCTGTCACCACACCAGGTTGATCAGGAGCTGCAGGAGCCAGGAGAGACTACCAGCCTGCTGCTGGCTGATCATTCCTTTCCAGTAGTAATGTGTGGGTTAGATGAGTGGACAGTGAGGTGGATGGAGAACTGGCTGGATGGTTGTGTTCAGCAGTGCAGAGTCCAGTTGGAGGCCTGTGACTAGTGGTGTTCCCCAGGGGTCAGTACTGGGTCCAGTCTTGTTAAACGACCCGGATGAGGGGACAGAGTGTACCCTCAGCAAGCTTGCTGATGACACAAAACTGGGAGTGGCTGACACACCAGAAGGCCCTGTTGCCATTCAGCAAGACCTGGACAGGCTGGAGAGTCGGGCAGAGAGGAACCTGATGAAATTCAACAAGGGCTAGTGTAGAGTCCTGCACCTGGGGAGGAATAACCCCATGCACTGGGGCAGGTTAGGGGCTCTGCAGAGAGAGACCTTGGAGTCGTGGTGGACACAAGTTGACCGTGAGCAGCAATGTGTCCTTGTGGCCAAGAACGCCAATGGTCTCCTGGGGTGCATTGGAAAGGGCGTGGCCAGCAAGGAGGTCATCTTCCCCCTCTACTCTGCTGCATCTGGCCCCCCAGTTCAAGAAGGACAGGGAACTACCAGAAAGAGTCCAACAAAGGGCTACAAAGATGATCTGGAGACTGAAGCATGTGAGGAAAGGCTGAGACTTGGGTCTGTTTAACCTGGAGAAGACCTAGAGGGGACCTTATCAATGCTTATAAATATCTAAAGGGCAGGTGTCAAGAGGATGGGGTCAGGCTCTTCTCAATAGTGCCTGGTGACAGGACAAGGGGTAACAGACACAAGCTGGAACACAGGGAGTTCTGTCTCAACATGAGGAAAAACTTTCCTTTGAGGGTGCCAGAGCCCTGGAACAGGCTGCCCAGAGAGGGTGTGGAGTCTCCTTCTCTGGAGATCCAACCCACCTGGATGCATTCTTGTCTAGCCTGCGGCCAAAGTGACCCTACTTTGGCAGAGGGGTTGGACTAGATGATCTCTGAAGGTCCCTTCCAACTCCTACGATTCTGTGATTCTGTGAGGGTCTTGATTTGCTAGCCACATCTGTATTTGTCTATGGATAATCCCTGAGTCCAGGACCTAAAGGTAGGTTTCGCGGCTTCGTTTCATACATTTGAAGTTTGGGAAAGGAACAGTACAATCCTGCTGCAGACACACATGAGCTGATCTCAAAATCACAATGAGCTGCCAATGTGTCATTGTGAAAACAAGGCCCTGAAAGATCTTGGGAGCAACGTTCCCCGGCAGAGATTGTAAGGGATTAATACCATTGTCCTTGGTGCTGGCAAGACACCCTCGGGAACACTGCATGCCATTCTGGTCATCCATATCAAAGAGACATAAATAATTAATCCAGAGCAGAACGTTGCTGCTGAGATGAGGGTGAGTAGAAAGTTAGAGGAGCTCAGCTAGCTTAGCCTAGTCAGACGACAGCCAAAAGGGACACTTCTGTCTGCAAGCACTCAAAGGGTAAAAGGTAAATCCTATGGAGCAGGGGCTATTTAAGACCAAAGCTGGAACAAGAATAAATGGCTACAAACCAGTCACAAATATATTTAGCATGAAAATCAGAAGAAGATTCTGGGAACAGCTTCCTGGTGGGAATAATGATGGCAAAAGATCTTAAGATGAAACTGGATACATTTATGAAAGGAATTATATAATATAGTATTTGCAAAGGCTGAAGGCTGCAGCAACCCAGGAAATCCCTCCACCTTATGTTCCGGTTTATTTTGAGCTCTTAAAGATGAAGCCTAGCATTTCACCCTCCCATTCCTCTTCCTGCTCCAGCCATTAGCAGGTGGACTTCAGCACCTCTTAAAAGCTGTTTAAAGATCGAACAAGACATTGAATTTATCTTGCACTTCTGGATTGCTTTTTGCTGTTCCTCAGAAGGGAAAAGGAAAGTTTTTCAAAGTGTTGCCTAATTTATATATGCAAAAATTGCTATTTAATACATCTTCTTATACGCACAGAGTATTGTGTTTTATCCATTTTTTCCTACTTGCCAGACTTCCTTATTAACCAATTTCCCATAGCATCCAAACAGTATACAAACCAGTGCTATTTTACTCCAAGTTGCCCTGCTCAAACATATTTGACAGGCATTCCCTGGGTAATGCGATTACGAAGCAAACCATGGAGATGTTTCCTACTGGTGTTCCTGTGAGGGCCGTCTTCACTGTGCTCTGATGGGTCTAGCAAGACACAAAGTCTCTTCAGCAAGCTGTCTTTCCCTGCGAGCCTCAGACACATATGAGTAGGACTTATGAGTTAAACCCAGGACCTGTTTTTCAGGGAGATCCCTGCCCAGTTTACATCTGCTTTTCATGGAGAGAAGGGAAAAAGGGGTGCATAGGTTCTCCTCTTCCTGCCAAGCTGGTCCTTTCCATGGTGTCTCTTTTCCAGTTGTATAGGAAATGTTTTCATTTTCCTTTTGTTTCTGTTCCTTACAGATTTTTGAAGATGTCCATCACCCCTTTAGAAAACAAATAATCACCCTCTTGCTCCCTTTAAATAACTCCCCTCTTGCTCCTTCAAAGGTATGTTAACTTTGACGTCCATGGGAGATCCCTCACATCACTTAACTGTCCAACAAGAGAATGAAGTGAAGACAGTATGTTTGAGGAAGGCAAATTTACAGGTTTATTTGCCCCATTTCTTCAAATGTATTATATGGCAAGCTCTGTCCTCACCCCTTGGTAGGTGGGGCAGGTGCTATCTCCAGCAGATTCCATTCCAAAAGTCATACATTCCAACCTGCCTTAAAATCTTGTATTACTTCAATAGACTAACAATTCACCTTTCTGCACACAAAAGCAAAAAATAATCACACAACACCGTTTCCCCACCCCCACCCCCGCCAAACATGCCCTACCAAACTCTGAGAAAGATGGAAACCGGTAGCTGAGGCTGCAGCCAGGCTTCGTGCTCAGCTCGGGCTGTGCCAGGTCACCGGAGAGTCCTTTCCCTGCAAATCATTCACACCGGGAATAACGAAAGAGGTACGGGATTTTTCAGCATAGAGAAAGCAGAACCTTGTGCAATGGGATTTATTTGCTCGAGTTCCAAAGGAATTTAAAGGCTGCTCTGAGCATTCAGAGGCAGCTCTTCCCCCGTCAGGATCAAGGTGACTACCGCGGGAAGGAGGCACCGCAAGCTCCACCAAAACAGCACGGCACGGCCGCTGAGCCGGCCGCCGGGAGCCGGGCCGGGGGGCACCTTCCCGTCCCCACCCCGAGCGCTCGGTTGCAGGGCCCGAGGGCAGCAGGCGGCCCGCACCCCCGCTCCCTCCCTACCCCGGGCGGCTGCAGGGGGCGGTAGGCGCTCGCGTTGCGCGGAGGGGAGGGAGGGAAGGCGGGCGGCAGCCGGGCCGCTCGGCTCTACGCTAAACTGCACAACGGCGGCCGGAGAGGCGGGGGCGGCCCCCGGCGATGGGCCCTGACTAGGGAAAGGGCGGGGGGAGTCCCGTCCTCCGGAGCGCAAAAGACAGGAAGGGGCCGGGCTGCCGCTCCCCTCGGCGCTCGGCCGGGCTCCCGCAGCCCGGCAGCGGCGGCAGTACCGGGGGGAGGGGGGTGCAGGCGACGCCACAGGCCCAGCCCCGCTGCCCACCTCACGGCCCGGCCCGGCCACTTCCGCCCGCGGGGGGAGGGGCCACCGTCAGCGCAGCGCACCGCCCACGTGACCCTGACGCAGCACTACCGCTCGGCGCGGCGGCGGCGCGTATCCCTCCGCCGGCCGCCGGCCGCCTCCTCGCCCCTTCCCCCCTCGCCGCGGGGGGGCGGGAGCCGGGGGGATGGTGGTCGGGG